CACATTCATCCAGAGAAAATTCAGTGATAGAACCACTAGGTAATGTTTCTAACATATTAATTTGAACCCAAACTTATGAACTCATAAAAAAAAAAGAGTTATTAACTCAATATTTTTCTTTTTTCTTTTAAAGTATATAACTATAGCATTTCATTAGGGTTTTTTATTTTTTCCTTTTTTTTTTTTTTTCTGAATTAGGTTCCCTAGGTTACTTAGGTTGGTTTAATCAGTTGCAAGAATCAAAAGTGGAAAGAAAAAAAATCTTGATCTAGTTGGTTATCCTTTGTTATTACTAGTAGTATTGTGAGATTTTCTATTCTCTTCACTTTATATATGTTCTTTCATGGAAACACAACAAAGGTCAAACTCTGTCTTTGTGTGTGTGTATGTGTTTTTTTTTTTTTTTTCAAATTAAGAAACTAAAGTTCTGAAAGGATATAATTCTTTTTCATCTTTTTTATTGATTGTGTTTTAGGATTAATCAGGAATTACTCGATGTGTATTTTTGGACCAAGGCTGACAAAATCCTTTTTTGGAAAAATTTGGTAACATATTTTGAGGCTATTCAAATCGCAACACCATGGAACATTGACATTTTTGCAAATTGGAAAAAAAGTTGTAGATGGGGATGATAAATTGAAAATCATGAGAAGAATTTATGATTCAGCCTCACGACGCAGCTCTACATCCTCCTCAACAAACAGAATTGCTGGGTCAAACTGGGAATGCGGCATAAAATTTATCCGAGCATGTATTGTACATTTTAAAAAAACAGCAGCGGAAGCTAAACGTCAGGTAGTCTCTCACTCCTGAATAATTTGCTTTTCAGATGTACAAGCTTATTTTCAAACATATATGTATACATTATAATTTTTTTTTTTAATTTTAATAAGTAAAGAGATAAAAATATTATAATATAAGATAAAAAGTTAAAATTTATAAAATTTATAAATTTATCAATATAAAGGATTAAAAATAAGTTTTTGCGCAATATTGATGCTAATCATCACAAGTGGGTGTAGAAAGACATTCCCTCAAATCCTCTCAATGAAAGTGGTGAATGAAAAAGGAAAGGAAATGCCAAGCAAAAGGATGGAGAAACATGGCGAAAGAAGGGAAAAAGGACGACCAGAAACGGTGTTAGTGTTTTAGGTATTTCATGGTTTCAGAATCTAAAACGTGTCAGAACATTATTGGTTCAGAATACATCCCACGTGGTATACGCGGCATATTGTAGACTTTCTCCTAATGTCTTTTATTTTGTTCACGCATCAGGACTCAAGTTGTTCCTTTACTATATCTTCAACCCCAGAAACTGAGAGCTTCAAAGCCATGGATTTGAGTTCTGAGAAGGGAATCCAGGGGTAGAAAGCCACCCCGCCACTGGAAGATCTGCTTGTAAAAGGGATGGATCTTCTTCCATAGGAAGTTACGATCAATATTCTATCGAGATTAACCATGGATGCCGAAGAGGGAATAGAGAAGAAAAGGGTCAAACTTGCAGATGATCCTTCCAACAGAGCGATGGTCCATAGAGGTCTTCATCTTCTCCCACCGGAGATCCTGCTCGAAATCTTATCAAGACTCCCGATCACCTCTCTGATGCACTTCAAGACCACTTCTCATGCCGGCTATGATTTAATTGCCAATCCAGGACTCCCTGCGATGTTCCACAACCGGGTAAGCGACTCAAACCCATCTCTGATTCTGTTCAACCACAATTTCGTTGCCTCCCGGTTCCTGCAACTCTATTTTGTGGATAGTGAGGGTTATAGTAGAATGGTAAGGAAAATCGACCCACCACAGCATTCAGAAGTTAATAATTTGGTGGGTTCTTGTAACGGGCTGTTATGCTTATCCTTTCCCATAATTGGTGGTTCATCGGAGTCTCAGAGTCTGCTAATTTACAATCCCTTTGTTGGAGACGCTGTGAGAGTCCAACCAGCGGACCAATACCTGAATCAATTTGAAGACTTTGGATTTGGGTTTCATCCGAGGACAGGAGAATTCAAAGTGGTCAGGATTGTGTACTACGACAAGATCATAGACCCGGCGCTAGATGTGGGAGAAGTGGGTGAAGAATTCGCCACCGTTGATGATGCAATGGTTCAGGTGCTTACCGTTGGAACAACGGAGTGGAGAAAGAAAGGAGCTCCGCCTCCACAGTTCGCGGATGTAATCGGACCACCTGAGGCTCTAGTTGAGGGATCTCTCCATTGGATGACTGTTGTTGGGATGGGAGGAGTCGGTGTTATCTTTGGTATTATCTCCTTCGAGCTTGCAGATGAGGTGTTCGAAGAAATTCCGCACCCACCATGTCAACGATTTGTGTCATGGCGCTACAGTCTTTCCATGCTCAATGGTTGTCTATCGGCTGCTAGGTTAGTTGATAATTTGCATTTTGATATCTGGGTGATGAAGCAATACCATGTTGAGGAATCTTGGGTAAAACAATTCTCCTTTGATCCCTATTTTGCTGGTGGATGGCCAAGCTATTCAAAAATATTTCCCGAAGTTATATGCGCACTGAAGAATGGTGAGATTCTGTTGCAGTATGATGACAGTTCTCTGGTTTCTTATGATGCTGTGGAAAACAGATTCAAGATTCTTCAAATGAGTGGGTTACCCAATTGGTTCCAGGCACTTCCTTTTCTACCTTCTCTTTTCTCAGCAAAGGCAACCATGAATTTGCAAGTTTAACTTCTCTTTTCCTGTAAGACTCTACTACTAGTTTTTAGTTTGTGTTCAATCTTTGATCATCAATGCATCAGTAACATGGAATGGTGATTGAAGATTTTGCTTCGAGCTGGGTGGGAAGATTAATAAGAGTTTTATGTCCTGAACCAAGGGAAGATTGTGTTGGGGTGTAACAAGAAAGCTCTGGATTCTTGTGATCCTAAAACCAACAGGTTCAAGGCTCTAAGGATCAACCGGCTTCCGTAGCAGTTCCAAGCTTTTGCTTTCCAGCCTACTTTGTTCTCAGGAAAGGAAACCGTTGAAATAACCTTCACAACTCTTCTTTATCATACACATATTTAATTTCCTCTGCTTTAGTCAGGCTTCCATTGTTTATATGTTGATTAATTAATCATTTTTTGTGGTTACTTAAAAATCTCATCATCCTTTTTAGGATTTGAAT